ATGAGAACGATCGTTGGTTTATGAGCTCAGAACGTTAATAGATTCCTTCTGAAAAGTGCCAACAGTGTGGTCAGGTAACGAAACAATATTTCAGTTGGGCTTGAACAATGCCAAATATTGCAAAATGGATAAAACTCTGGAGTTCAAGCGTAACGTGAACGAGAGGCTGAGATCAAGCATAGGCCTGAACTTGAATGTTGGCCTCAGGCTGAGCTTCAGATTAAACCTAACGAAACTTTTGAATTGTTGACACTCTCTGGCTTCCCGTTAGATGGTGCAGTTTTGAACGACGAAGACGTACAGGATTGAAAATTCTGGATGGCCACAGTGGGACACACGAGTGTAGTTGAACAAGAGCAATTAGGCAAGTATGGTGTAAGCAAGTGCTCATCTTCACCAAACCATTACAAATCTAACCATCAAAATTTACAGTTGTTCATCATCTCGCCTAGTATCACCCAACCAACGTTTGTCTTATTTGCCAATGGATAAGCAAAAGAACCAACCTCGATCAAATAAAAACTATATAATGATGCGAAAAATTTCGTCGACTTTACAAAATTTTTCAGAACAACTGAATTTTGCAAGTTTCAAACGATGTCAAATAATCAAATAAATTTTTTGCAAATTACAATCGTTCCATAATGCAAACTAAAAGAGTACGTTGTTAGCGCTGATCGGCGAAGAATGTTATGAAGGAACGTATTGTACTTCTGGTTTACGCAGTTGACCGTAACATCAACCTCATACTTCGTTTTTGTGTACAGTGTTTATGGCATTTTTAAGTGAAACACTTCGTTTTCGTGAATCTCACGTTGAGTTAAGTGAGCTTCGGCTCTGGCTCCGAATCTGGATTCTCGTTTCACACTGAAACAATTCAATGGAGAACGTAAAGGTCAAGATTACGACCGATATGGTTCAGTTGCAAACATTCATCAGCATGTCTAATTCGTTTTCATTACCTGAATTAGCTGATGACGGTTTTATTTCCATTTCGGTTCCAAATTCAAATTAAGCACTTAATTTTGTTCATTCTTTAAAAAAAGCGAACATTTTAACTTCGCATAGTCTCGTTATTTTATTGTTCAGAGACTCTCAGATGGTGTGAGTTCGACAATTCCTTTGACAAGTAAGCTTTGATGAATTTCGATATCACTATTAGAGCAACTGAAAAACAGAATCAAAAATGAAGAAGGCTCAGTTTTGACTGTATTCGAAAATTATTATTCACTCATTTACTACTCTTTCAAGGCAACATAAATTGTCCTACAAGCCGTGCTTGCGACGGCAAAGGTACGTTCCGGAGATGGCCGAGAGGAAAACGGTAAGTCCATTCATCTCGAGAGCAAGAAAGCCTCCGTAACCGAACAATGAATGTTTAATGCAAAACCGTGTCGGTATATTTTTATATTTGTGGCTTACATTCTCACTCGTAACAACATTTAGAACACCTGTCAATTCATTATACCACCTGACGCTGCCACTCTTTCATTGAAAAAAATCAATCGAGGCAGTAATCCACTGACGAAGTGACCACTAATTCTAACAATGATTTACGTTGAAGTCAGCTGATATTTGTATGTTGATTTACATTGCATTTTGATGGTAATTGTGATTTACCTTATGCTACATTTCACTTTCATTCATTTATTCAATTTCCGCCTGGCCAATCTGACCTAGAATTTTATGTACTTCTTACTCCCGGATCAGTAGGGATTTCGATTATTTCACCAGAATCGATTCAGTGACATCACATTTTTTGTTGATACCGTATTTTGCTGGAATTCACTTATAACCGGCTTAAACCTAACATTCTATCCGTGAATCACTTCTCGCGAGTAGGAAAGAATTCCAGTTACTCCAGCATATACCTACTGAACATACTGGACACCAGTGGTCACGCAAATTACTACGATTCGTGTAACTTGATCTTTCCGGTCAAATTTCATTAAATCTTTACAAACCGCTGATCGAGAGTTTTTGTTTTAATCTCGTTCACGAGTTATTCCGGTCGAATGAGTAACAATTTCATTCATTTATTCAACTTTTGTAGTTCAAGCCAAATTTTAAAAAATCGAGTATATCTTGATTGCTTTTCCACTCTGCATCTCACTTTTTATTATTTTGGACCCGGCCAGGAAGTGATTATATGATTTGCTCTAATTGATTCACGTTATTTAGGTAAGAAACTCACATTTCTTAGCCGAGTGTCAATTAGGGTTTGCACGGGATCCCGGGATTTCAGCTCTGATCCCGATCCCGGGATTTAAATTTTGAAAAATCCCAGGATCTCTGGATTTGATAAAACAGGTCAATTTGTGTGAATTTTGATAGCATGCCCATCTTGAAGCAAACCTTAATCATTCCCTTCTCATTCATATGCGGTCATCTTTGCTGTTTGCCCTCTATCATTGATGAATAGCTAAGGAAATAGACGCAAGTTGGAC